TTATTGTGATAACTATTCTACTTATTACGCATGCGTATCACTAAGCAGATTTTGAACGAAGAACGAAAGAAAATTTGTTGTCAAACCATGGAGGAGGTATGTCAAACAATGAAGACTATTTTAGTAGATAAATGGATAAGTTTGACTTCTAAAACCGCCAACTTTGGTTCTGTGTTCAAAACAGCGGCAAATCTGCCAAATTGTGAAAAAATAAAAATGAAGGACATTTTGTGGTGCAACCCAACACCACCCCAGCCCTACCATGGTTTTGGTTAAGGTGGGAGCTTTTTAGGACATGACAGCTTTGGATACCCGAAAATGTTAATCATACTTCAAAATTTGTTATCTCAAATTGACGTCCCGATTTCCGATGTCAAAAACACGTTTTGCAAGGTGGTTTTCACCTACGATTCAATAGCCTATCAAAACAATATTCGGGCGAAGAAATTAGTCTTGGTCTTGCATGATGTAACGAGTTATTTTTAGCAGCCAATCTCTGTGAAAACACGTGAGTCTTCACGCTGTGAATTAACGATCCGATCAGCCACTGGGCAGGTCTTTTCAGGGACGGACCGCGGTGTTGTCTATCTTTACTTTAGCCGCAGTTAGTGAGCAGCTTATTTTTAGCGACAGTAAACAACAAAGTAATTTATACAAGAATGGGCTTTGTGTTTTAATTTATGGCGACCAATATCAGTTTTAAGCAATTTTAAGAGTTTCAAGTCGGCAGAATTCGGAGACAATTCCGGCGCTAATGCATAAGTTCACCTCATCTTCAAAATCAAACTTCCAAGCTGTAATTTCATTAAATATTCATGTATTATGCAAAAACATTCCTTTACCCACACGATTGAAACTATTATATGACAAATCCAGTTTGTATTATTAAGAAAAATTCGGTTTTACCGCAGCTCTCTCGAGTGGCTACCATCCGATCGCTTTTCGGCCATCTTGTAAATGAAATGGTTGCCAGAATCACATATATACGATTTCTAGTAACTTAGGGAATCAATTGTTTAACACTGTGCGCTACTATACCCATTTTGGTTCTAGTTGCGCACAGTGATAATCACTGTGCGCTACTATACCCATTTTGGTTCTAGTTGCGCACAATGATAATGAATAGGATAAAATTAAATTCAGTTGATGGGCAGTGCATTGAATGCATATGTTCACCTCATCCTCAAAACCAAACTTCCAAGTTGTAGAGTCCTTAAATATTAATGTATTATGCAAATCATGCCTTTAGCTACACGATTTACACTATTATATGACAATTTCAGCTTGTATTATTAATATAAACAAATCCAGTTTTAACGCAGCTCTCTTCTGAGTCGCTCCCATCCGATCGCTTCTCGGCAGTGTATCGTTGTGCACTACTACACCCATTTTGTTTCTAGTTGCGCACAGTGATAAATAATAGGATACAATTGAAATTATTGACGGGTAGTTTATCACTGTGCGCTACTATACCCATTTTGGTTCTAGTTGCGCACAGTGATAATGAATAGGATAAAACTCAATTCAGTTGATTTGCAGTTGTAGAGTCCTTAAATATTAATGTATTATGCAAAACATGCCTTTAGCTACACGATTTACACTATTATATGACAATTCAAGCTTGTATTATTATTTTTTTTAAATCCGGTTTTACCGCAGCTCCCATCCGATCGCTTCTCGGCAGTTTATCGTTGTGCGCTACTATACCCATTTTGGTTCTAGTTGCGCACAGTAATAATGAATAAGACAAAATTAAATTCAGTTGATGGGCGGTGCATCGAATGCATATGTTCACCTCATCCTCAATTTCAGCTTGTATTATTAATATTTAAAAAATCCGGTTTTAACGCAGCTCTCTTTAGTCGCTCCCATCCGATCACTTCTCGGCAGTTTATCGTTGTGCGCTACTATACCCATTTTGGTTCTAGTTGCGCACAGTGATAATATATAGGATAAAATTAAATTCAGTTGATGGGCAGTGCATCGAATGCATATGTTCACCTCATCCTCAATTTCAGCTTGTATTATTATATAAAAAAATCCGGTTTTAACGCAGCTCTCTTGAGTCGCTCCCATCCGATCGCTTCTCGGCAGTTTATCGCTGTGCGCTACTATACCCATTTTGGTTCTAGTTGCGCACAGTGATAATCACTGTGCGCTACTATACCCATTTTAGTTCTAGTTGCGCACACAGTGATAATGAATAGGATAAAATTATATTCGGTTGATGGGCAGTGCATCGAATGCATAAGTTCACCTCATGCTCAAAATCAAACTTCCAAGTTGTAGAGTCCTTAAATATTAATGTATTATGCAAAACATGCCTTTAGCTACGCGATTTACACTATTATATGACAATTCAAGCTTGTATTAATAATTTTTTAAATCCGGTTTTACTGGAGCTCCCATCCGATTGCTTCTCGGCAGTTTATCGTTGTGCGCTACTATACCCATTTTGGTTCTAGTTGCGCACAGTGATAATGAATAGGATAAAATTAAATTCAGTTGATGGGCGGTGCATCAAATTCCAAGTTGTAGAGTCCTTAAATATTAATGTATTATGCAAAACATGCCTTTAGCTACACGATTTACACTATTATATGACAATTTCAGATTGTATTATTAATATAAAAAAATCCGGTTTTAACGCAGCTCTCTTGAGTCGCTCCCATCCGATCGCTTCTCGGCAGTTTATCGCTGTGCGCTACTATACCCATTTTGGTTCTAGTTGCGCACAGTGATAATCACTGTGCTAAAATTATATTCGGTTGATGGGCAGTGCATCGAATGCATAAGTTCACCTCATGCTCAAAATCAAACTTCCATATACCCATTTTGGTTCTAGTTGCGCACAGTGATAATGAATAGGATAAAATTAAATTCAGTTGATGGGCAGTGTATCGAATGCATAAGTTCACCTCATCCTCAAAATCAAACTTCCAAGTTGTAGAGTTCTTAAATATTAATGTATTATGCAAAACATGCCTTTAGCTACACGATTTACACTATTATATGACAATTTCAGCTTGTATTATTAATATAAAAAAATCCAGTTTTAACGCAGCTCTCTTCTGAGTCGCTCCCATCCGATCGCTTCTCGTCAGTGTATCGTTGTGCACTACTACACCCATTTTGTTTCTAGTTGCGCACAGTGATAAATAATAGGATACAATTGAAATTATTGACGGGTAGTTTATCACTGTGCGCTACTATACCCATTTTGGTTCTAGTTGCGCACAGTGATAATGAATAGGATAAAACTCAATTCAGTTGATGGGCAGTGTATCGAATGCATAAGTTCACCCCATCCTCAAAATCAAACTTCCAAGTTGTAGAGTCTTTAAATATTAATGTATTATGCAAAACATGCCTGTAGCTACACGGTTTACACTATTATATGACAATTTCAGCTTGTATTATTAATATAAAAACATCCGGTTTTAAAGTCAGGCTCCGGAGGAAAAAAAATTTTGATATGTTGTAGAACTGATTTTTTTAAGACAGAAAAAGTTGTTTGACGAAAAACTGGGGAACGGTGAATGAGATACAGATTTTTTAATATTTAAAAACTGGGGGAATAAGGTGTAAAAATGGGCAGTTACGTTTTTCCTCCGGAGCCTGACTTTAACGCAGCTCCCTTGAGTCGCTCCCATCCGATCGCTTCTCAGTATTTTATTGTTGTGCGCTACTACACCTATTTTGGTTCTAGTTGCGCACAGAGTGATCATGAATAGGATAAAATTCAATTCAGTTGATGGGCAGTGTATCGAATGCATAAGTAGTTGCGCACAGTGATAATGAATAGGATACAATTAAAGTCAGTGACGGGCAGTTTGTCACTGTGCGCAACTATCATTTTTGATTTAGTTGCGCACAGTGTTAATGTATAGGATAATATTCAATGCAGTGATGTGCAGTTCATCACTGTGCCCTACTATACCCATTTCGGTTCTAGTTGCACACATTGATAATTTAGGCCCCTAATAGGATAAAAATCAATTATTATTATTATTTTGTGCAGTTTATCACTGTGCGCTACTATACCCATTTTGGTTCTACTTGCGCACATGTCTGATTAAAAACACATTGAAGGACAAGACTGCGTTCTGGTAAGAAGTCAGGAACTAATCCCCTTCAAAAATGTCTGGTAATAACGCTTCCCCCACCCCAATATGGCAACGTTGGATAAACAACACGTTTATTTTTAAGTAATTATGGAATAAACAATGATATTACACTGTCAATCCGATTAGGTATTTTGTGTTTAGCATAAATGGAGTACAGCATGTTCGTTTCTCTGTTTTCTCCTTATTTCTTTTCTGGTGGTTTTTATAGACTTTTCCCACTTATATACAGGTCTCTGACTTGCTTCTTATTTTTCAGCATACCTTGTTAAATTATTACAGTGTTATAATAATATTCGTGCTTTTCTACAAAACTTGTTGTTATTATCACAATACTTGGGCTTGCAATATATATTTGAAGCTCAGATAACAATACTCAGTTCACTATGAATCATTGTTTCATTGTCATGTAAATATATTACTATTATTATTATTACTATTATTATTTTTATCATTATCAAAATCATCATCATCATTTACTTTATCTGTAAGTTGCTGTAAAAGTATTAATATAATAATAAAAACACTAATGAGGATACTAAATTTAAATAATGGTGATATCGATAAGAATGATAGTAATAATAAAGATGAAGCTTTTCCGACTGCATTTCAGGGCTTCGGACCTTCAAAGCTGGGCTATCCAACTTTGGCTGCATTAAAAAGCTTTTTTTTTTTTTTTTTTTTTTTTTGTAAAGAACAAACACAATAACACTATATACATATATATTCTTTATTTAAATCGACAAACACAATAACACTAAATATACAAATATATTCTTTATTTAAATCGACACTTTTACATCAGCGGCACACGTAAATAATAAAATCATAATAATAAAAATAATGATAACAAGAAAAATAATAAAAGTACTATTATTAATAATGATAATAATATTAGTAATAATTAGAATGATAATAAGAATAATATTAATATAAACCATATAAAAACATAGAGATAAAACCGAAGAATTTCATCTCTTTTGTTGCTTCAGCGAAGATTTAAATGCCGCTCTAAAATTAAATTCTGTTTCCCGACAACGTTTGTCGGCTTCATCGTACGGCAATTTGTACTTCTTCTGTGTCAGGTACACGATCGCCTCTTTATTGGCCACAAACCGCATGTAATTAAATGTATTCCTATTGAGAAAAAGGTTAAGCATAGATTATGAAATATTCTCATGCTAATAATGTATCGAGCATGGACAAATCTTAATAATCTGCTTATTCTTTTTAAGAATATATGTAGTCTCAAAACATTCTTTACAGCAACCATGTATTTAAGTCGCCGTCAAACATTGTGGCTCGAAAGGATGTTGGTGGATCGTAAATCGCGGAAAATTTATTACTAGGCATATAACTTTTTCATATGAAAAGAGTGAGACTGTCGATACAGAAGAAAATAATGGGTAACGCCGCTGTAGGACGGGTGTTTGTTAGCAAAGACTTAAATTCAAATCAGGAAGGAAACTTTTTTCTGTTTGATTCTGATTCGACATGAGTACTTACAATGTATCTTCTTTACAATACCGCTGCATTTCCTCGGCTTCTTCAGGTAGACCATGAATTCGAGAAATCATCATGGATGTGTAGGGGCATCTGTTGGATCAAAAATAATATTAAAATATAACAACAACAAATAATAACAGTATTCTTTTTGAACAAGCATATGCACAAAAACATACAAAAATGTAAACATAACCGACGTCCTTCATTAATAACTGACCTGGGGTCTACGTTTGTTGGGTAGGTCATCTTATTAGTTTCTCTGAACAAGTAATCCATTACCTGCGAAGCAAAATGTAAGGCTTATAATTTTAAAACACTTTACACACCAATGACATTGGTGTTAATTGAAATAGGCACTGTTTCAGACAACTGATATTAAAATTAGTAGCTATTATATTAATTGTTGTTGATATTAACATTGACATTTTTATTAAGGTTTATTATTTTATTATTTTTATTATTATTGTTATGTGAACCAAAATGGGTATAGTAGCGCACAGTGATTATCACTGTGCGCAACTAGAACCAAAATGGGTATAGTAGCGCACAACGATAAACTGCCGAGAAGCGATCGGATGGGAGCTGCGGTAAAACCGGATTAAAAAAAATTAATAATACAAGCTTGAATTGTCATATAATAGTGTAAATCGTGTAGCTAAAGGCATGTTTTGCATAATACATTAATATTTAATGACTCTACATCTTGGAATTTTTATTTTGAGGATGAGGTGAACTTATGCATTCGATACACTGCCCATCAACTGAATTTAATTTTATCCTATTCATTATCACTGTGCGCAACTAGAACCAAAATGGGTATAGTAGCGCACAATGATAAACTGCCGAGAAGCGATCGGATGGGAGCAAGCGGATTTAAAAAAATTAATAATACAAGCTTGAATTGTCATATAATAGTGTAAATCGTGCAGCTAAAGGCATGTTTTGCATAATACATTAATATTTAAGGACTCTACAACTTGGAAGTTTGATTTTGAG